CGGCGGCGCTCGGGAATTGGCTTCCAGAGGAGTATTGGCACTGGGCTGGGTCCTCGGTGAGGGCTCTGGTGGGTGGGAAAGAGAGGCCTGTGAGTCTGGCATCTCTGCGGCCAGGTTGGGGTGGTTTACAACACCTGTATGAATATACTCTCCTGTTAGACTTGTGGATTTTTGCAGCATTGAAGCCCTTAGTTTCTAAGGCAGATTGTGTTTCTTCCTCTCCTGGAAGATAGGATATATGATATGGAAGGAAAAAAAAACAGTAATGGCCTTAGGTGCATTTTCAGCATATTCCTCACCTGATTCTTGAGCTGTTTCAGTCTGGGCCAGGTTGATTCTTCTTAGACCGCATCAGTAATTCAGTCATTCAAAGTTAACAAATGGATGGAGTTGAAGTGAAAAACATTTGTGTGGTTTTTTGCAGCTATGAAGAGGAAACCCTGTAAGAGCCTGAAACCTGTTAGTTCTAAAATCTTTTAAGAGTGGAAGGGGCAGTCAATACAACTTAAGGACTAGAGAAAGTCTAGTCTGCCTTTTAAAAAGTGACTTTTGCTGCAATATATAGTGGTTTGATTTTTTTATTTAATTAGATGTTGCGTTTGAAGGTATTTTTTAGCTATTAACTCTAATAAATATTTCACATGTTAGTTTTGTATTTTGGACTGACCTCTAGATTCTATCCAAAAGCTCCTTGATGCAAATTAAGAATTTAAACAAAATTTACAGAATCTAGAAAAAAAGAGAGAAAAACAAATGCAGAAAACAAATGATATTTCTTTTCCGAAAGGTAATGTTCATGTAAATGCCAATATTGAGAAACAAAAACTTTTTTTTTTTGAGTGCTGTTTTTGGATAGGCCATCACTTAACGCTGACACTTGTAGCCACTTGCCTTCCACAGGATAGYTCGGAATTTCTAGTTTGTGAACCTAAAAGCTGTGCACCAGCACTCTGAGTCATCTGCCCCTAAATCATCCTTTCAGCAGATCCATCAGACTGCTCTGCAGAGCGTGGCCAGTGGTTAACTCTTAAATCAGTATCCTTGCTTTTTTTTTTTTTTTTTTTTCATCCTTTCAGCAGATCCATCAGACTGCTCTGCAGAGCGTGGCCAGTGGTTAACTCTTAAATCAGTATCCTTGCTTTTTTTTTTTTTTTGATGTTATTGTATGCGACAGCCTTTGCAGATGTTGACAGTGAAGGGAAAGGAAGATCTGAAAGCATCCAGAGTGTTGATATCCCAGAGAAGCCCTTGAGCCTTGTGTTGCTTTTGTGACCAACAGGAGCCCCACCTGAGTCACCACAGCCGGTTGTTGCAAAAACTGTGATTTAGGGAAATTATGGAAATAAGGCAACTCTTTCTTTGTGGCAAACAATTTTTTGTTTGCCACAAAAATCATCCAGCTGAGCTAGTTAGTTTGATGTAAAATTCAGGTGCTTTGGACCTTGTAGGCAGTATTCATTTGGCTTGAATAGAAGACACTGGAGAAGATAAATCAGTTGGTCATGTCTAGCATAATAAGTGATGATCAAATTAAAGAGAAAGTCTTAAAGTTTCTGTGTTTTTCCTCTGTTCATATTTAGAGCACCAGATGGTCAATACAGTCATAATAAACTGATGGGAATATTTAATTAAATATGTTCCCAGGACATTAAATGTGGGATATTATTTTTTGGCTGATGATTGGAGTAAATATTTTGTAATAAGGAAGGGTCCTTATGGAATATTGCTGCTAGAACATGAAAATCACATTTGGGAAAAGGAATATGTTCAAAGCAGAGCTTTCTTCACAAAATTAAGACATCTCAAAATGCTAATTCCTTTTTAATGTGGTTTTGGTTTTTTCCCTACCTCCAATTTGCTCTTACTCATTGCTACCCAATTCRTTTCCAATAGCACAAGCATTCCCAATAGTACAGGAATCTTTGAAATTTGGCAGTTCCACAGTCTGGAATGGGTCTAAGCTGTGACCTATAGTCAGTTAGTTGGAAGAACTGGCYATATAGTTAGTTACCTACTGCATTAAATAAGTAGATTAAAAAAACCCGAAAACCTTTGGAAGGARATGCTTAAAATACAAGTACCAAGTGGTTGGTTTCTGTCTTTCTGTTGGGTCCTGGGTYTTTGCTGATATCCTTTTCATGCTGACATTGTTCCCCTTTCAAAATTCATTTGACCTGCTCTGAGGGGTGAAAATACCCAGCATCAATTGTAGATTTTTTTCCTTTTCCTGGAAAAGAGGAAAGAAAAAAGCACAATTTGCTGGGCCCATTTAGGGAATTTCTACATGGGCTTTGCATGCATTTATAGCTCCTGAATATCATGCCAGGCCATGAGAAATTGGGCTTTTTAAGGTTGTAACACTTCATATATTTGGAAAGAAAGCCTCTCTRAGGTCATGTTGGTGTTTGGCCCAAGTCCCTTTGAATCATGGTTCTGAGAAATCCGAAGCCGATACGACACGGTGCAGAGGCAATAGCAGACAAACTGTGTAAAYGTAAATTGGACTTGCATTTGGACATTTTGGGCTAAAATATCCCCTGGAACAACAGCACTTTCTGGTGATACAGGGCATTCCCTTTATGAGAAAACTCCGGTCCTGTTAACGTGTGTCGCGGGAGCCCAACTCCAGGGCCAAGAGSCTTGGAAAGAGCAGCTCGGGGCGGCACGCAGCACCCAGCTCTGGTTGCGGTTATATTAGATTCTATTTAGTTATTAAATTAGGATGTGGTTGTTAATTATAAGCTCGCTGTGTCTTAGCATAAAGATTGGTCTCTCTCTTTGGTGGTTACAGTGACTCCTGCAGGGATGGTGTGGGCAGCTGTAAGACCATCCTATACAGGGAGCAGAGCCAACCCAGCAAATACAGTTGAAACCAAATGAGTCGGCAGCAAGRACGCTGGAAAAGCACTTTAATAAAACAAAATGGGGCAGCTTTATGCCAGGTCATTTTAAGGGCAACTTAGCAAAATGTTGAAAAAGATGAAAAAACATAGTCAAAAAAACTATAGGTTGGAGCTGAGTTTTGTAGTGATCACACAGACTTGGGCAAGAACATTACTGCACTTAAAGACTAATCTTAATAGCCAAAATATGTGACTAATAACCCTTCCTCCCATGTGTCTCCCTTCTGTAGCCTCTGGGACACTGGTGAGGCGCAGGGCAAGAGGGGATCTCCATGAGGCCCGAGCCAGCACAGCGTGGCATGGTGCTTCCTTACATAAAGTTGAGCTCGTGGCGATGGCAAACAGTTCTGTTTGCTTCCCTGGCTGCAAGAAGGTGGTGTAATTTCGGTTTCAGCTCTGTTGCTGTACCGGGAATGCCTTTTGGAGGTGACAGTACTCCAGGGAGATCTTGTTTTGCCTTATTTGAGTCTGSGATTTGTGATGGTCAGGTCTGGATCCTTTGTGACAACAGTGTAAACTCAGTAAATGCTGTTGGAGGTTCCTTCGGTGGAATATTTCTATTGTAGGCTTAGGAGTATCTGATCCTTTATGTTTTTAATAGTGCCTGTGAGGTCCTCAAAGGATAAGCAGGGTTTTTGTTCGGCTCAGTTCTTCCAACTGAAGCTTGATAAGGGCTTTTTTAGCCCCACCTCTGCAAAAAGAAGCACAAGACACAGCGGTTCTCGTTGGTGAACAGCTGTCCATCCCAGGGAGGATGGATGCGTGTCCTAGGGAGGATCAGGGTTATCTGTAGGGATCTCAGCCCACAGACAATATGGTCCAAATAATAAAAAAAAAAAAAAAAAAAAAA